ACCTATACTAGAAGCCAGAAAGTTGGCACATCATTTTCCTCATGCCACTAAGGCAAAGTATAGGGGATCCCAACACTAATCTACTATTTGCTTAAGAACCACCCAAAAAATAAAAAGATATATTCCTTATGGGGGTAATATAGGGATTATTATTTTTATTTTTTGGTGGTTCCTTAAGCAAATAGTAGTAATCATCCTAAATCCATGTTCCAACTTTCTGGGGTTCACTGTAAACCCAAGCCCTGCCTGGACCCTAAGGAACCTACCTTTTAGGGTTTCCAAATATGATTTCTTTATATAAGTCCCTAAAGGGGTTTAGGGTTTAGGGTTTAGGGTTTAGGGTTTAGGGTTAAAAAGGTATACAGGTTATTTGGGTATAAGGTAGACGATATTTGTGTACATTATGCGTCTAAGGGGTTTATATAGATGGAGGGGGTTTGTAGCTTTGTAGGTTCCGTGAACCGCAAAACTAGAACCTCAGACTCTTCGAAATCTCGAGGTTTAAATCCGAAGCCCTATATCCGGGCAGCTGCGTTCTGTTCTAGGCCCCTTTCCTTTTCCCAACGACTCCAAAACCACTTAGATTCGTATTGAAAGCATATACTGTATAGTTTTCAGAAAATCAATCCCCAAAGCGAAAGAATATATCTTAACTCAGGACGTCCTGTTGTAGGCTTAAGGCATATCCCTTCAAAGCTCTTCTGCAGCCCGACACCCGACGAAGCTTACCAGACAGATATGGGGCCGCTGCAAAGCCGAATAGATCCCTATAAACACCCTTGTAGAGCCCTATTGTGTGTGACCCTAAAGCTATAAACTTATAAACCCTATACCCTAACCCCTACACCCTAAACCTCTAAACCGCTAAACCCCTAAATCTTAAAGCTAGAAACTTTGAACCTTACCTAGACCCCCAAAAGTAGGTAAAATAATAGCCCAAAACCCATAAAACAAAGGCCATTATTCTACATACTTTTGAGGTTCAGGTATACCGTAAACACCTGAAACGGGGCTTTATAGCTTCCGGGTTCCCGGTTTCTCTCCGACTTCGGCTTTTGGCGTGGCGTTGGCAGACCAGTGGCTCGGGGAACTGCGAAGTCTGGGAACCGCGTTTTAGGGGTTTAGGGTGGATAGGGGTTTAGGGTGTAGGGGTTTAGGGGTTTAGGGTGTATAGGGGTTTAGGGTTTGGCGGTTTAGGGTTTGCAGGTTTAGGGCTTTTTGGGGGTTTAGGGGCACTAGATTTAAAGTTTTAGGTTGTAGGGTTTGGGTTTTGCAGGTCCAGGTTTTCGAGTTTAGGTTTGTGGTTTAGGGTTTAGGGTTCAAGGAATCTCTCTGGTAATTTGATACAAGGAGTGTGCTCCGGAGTGTTTTTGTGAGTGGTAATACAGGGTAAATACAATTAGAATAGGCGTTTGGGGTAGATTGCCGTTTTTGGACACGCGGGCTTAAGATAAGGGGATGTCGGCCCTAGTTCTTCCAACCTTGTCTAGCATTCTCCTAAGTTCTGGGTGTTCCGCAGGAAATATTGCTCATGTTATGTTTGTGAAAATTCAAGCCCAAGGGCTTATCAAACAGAATAGGCTCAGTTTATGTCTCAAAGGGGAAAAGGAGGGACCCTTGATGGGGACCCCTACCCCATAATGGGCTATATAATGGGTATATGATAGCTATATTAAGGGTATATACCTAGGGGTCCTTATTAAGGGTCCCTTGTTTTGCCCTTGGAATGTCTGAAGGGGCTTATCTAGATGCAGTTTAGGGGTTGCTTGGTTTAGAGTTTAGCTTCCCGCAAGCGCAAGCCTTTCAAAACTAGTGACTGTCGTAGTATACTTCTTCGTATACAGGTCCAGAAGTTTGAGCCTCTAGTTTCCATTTTTGGCCCAGCCGATCGCTGCTTTGTAGCACGAAGCCTTCCTGAGAAGCGCCGGCCTTCATAAGAAGCCCAACCTTGTAAGGTCAGGGTTTCGGCACGGTTGATCCTCGGGGTGGAGCTTTGGGACACTTTTCAGGGTTCCATTATGGTCCGTCTAAGCTTTTGATTCACATCCTAAGCTTTTGACAACAGCGCTGGGAACATCTTGAGATTAGGCTCTTACGTGTTCTGCTCGAAGTCAAAATCCCGAAACCCTCTAGACCTTAAACCCTGATCCTTAAACCCGAAACCCTGAACCTTAAACCCTAAACCTTAAACCCCACACCTTAAACCCTAAAATCCTTTTCAAGTTTTGGGGTCCTTATAATAAGGATCCTATTATTTAGGGTGCTATATTAGGGCCCCCTTTTCGGAAACTCCCATATAGGCTAGGCCCATCGGTTCAATTGACAGGAGGTCAGGGCCTAGATTCGCGGGACTTGAGGATGCTTGAGGGAACGGAGGTCTGCCATGATAAGCGGTTGCAATATGGGGGATCTGATAAGGGTTCCTTAATGGGATCTATGAGGGTTCTATAAAGGGTTTGGGGTTTAGAGTTTCCGAAAAGTTAGGGGTACTTCATTTTACAGTATTACCCTATATCCTATCAAAATTGGACCGCAAGTCATCATGTTTTTCTAAGACCCCTATACTAGAGTTCATGCGTTTACTTCATGACGGCTCAGGATCACCCAGCCTAAAGTGTTCTGTCAAGAAGTTGGGTGTTGCGGGTTCTCAGGGTTTAGAGTGTGCGGGTTTGAAAGTTTTGCTCGCAGCATTCCCAATCGAGCCGCGTGTAGTTTCCATGTTCAATGCCAAAACAAGGCTGACCAGGTGCACCCGGCTTTGCGTGGTCGGGTGCATCACTTGAATGGCCGAATGAACCATGACGGTATGGGCCCTGTCTACCGAAGGGTTTAAGTTTAAGGTGTCCGGTTTAGGGTTCTATACCTACTGCCGTGAGACTTGAACTTGGTTCATTTGGTCAATAAGGTCGGAGGCGACAGAGAAATTCTGACGCTTCGTGCCAGCGTCTGCGACTGCCAAGCTCAAAATTCAAAAATCCCGAGCAAGTGTATGATTCTCGCTTGAATGTCATTATTCTTATACTTCTCGCTACTACTGCGACGACGACGACTTCTACTACTGCTACTACTGCTGCTGTTGTTGCTGCCCCTATTCTTGTTATTTCTTGTTAATAATAAGTCTTCTCTTTACTCTGCTGCTCCAACTGCTACTGATACACTGCCCACTGCAGCCCAAAGTCTCAAACTGTACCTTTTCAGGTTAAGTTTGGGGCTTGCTCGGTGTAAGGCGGTGGCATTCAGTATTTAGGGTTCGAGGTTCGGCCCGACGGTTTTGCAGAGTTTGCGGGGAGTAGGATTTAGGGTTTAGGGTTTAGGTTGGTTTTGAGTTTGGGGCTTAGGGTTGAGGGTTTAGGGTGGGTTGGGGTTTAGGGTTTAGGGTTGAGGAACCCTAAACCCTAAATAAATTGTGCAGTGCTTTAGGTTTCTCTGACAGTCCTGTCTGACAGGCAGTGCAATTGGCAAGACGGTTCGCGTGTGCTGCTTTTTTCGAGACTGCAGAGTACAGAAGTAGACCCAAATGTATCCAACCTAACGTAAATGTCACTCTTGTCCTATGTTGAAGTGGGTCTAAACCTACATGCCTCGATGGTTGTCAGATCGCCTAGGCCTAAACATAAGACCCAGCATTTTATTTTGTACCTCTGAACGTTATTCAGGACGGGGCGTGCAAATCGCATGAGGGAACACAGCCGGAATTTAAATACAAGACGGCCGTCGAAACCCGACACACTGTCCTCTTGGGATTACGGGTAGGTTCACGGTCTTTGTGTCGCAGTAGATGTCCATGCGTTGGGGGACGTTGCAAGATTTGGAGCACACTAGGGTGAAAAAACCCTACGAAGCTTTTTCCCCAAACCCTGGGCCTTGCAATTCCCCTAAACCCTAAACCGTTTCAGTACCGAAAGCCTACAGAGCCCTCCTCTACCTTGAACCATAAACCCTAAACCCTCCTCTGCTGCAGCCGTGAGCAGCTTGCGTTCCAGCACCTGCCTTGTCGAAGCCGTCCCCGGGAGACGCCTTGCAATGCCGCACACGGAGGTGACTGTGGTTTGGGCTATCGGGTTAATAAGGTGTAGGGTTTCGGTCTCTAGGGGAATTGACAGGGTCAGGAGTATGGGGCTGCAGAGTATCAGATGAGGCAAGGAGGCAGTACCCCGAAACCCCACATAAATGGTACCCCAGGTTCAGCGTCAGGGTTTCAGTGCCTCCAAATCCGGTTTCAAGCATTTTGGGATTTCGGCTGGCATGTATTCATGGAGTCCGAGAAGGTTTCCGGTGTATTTGCGTGCCTGCGCCTGTCTAAAAACTGTGTGCGTGCGTGAGGCAAGCGCAAGTAAGTGCGCGCATGTGATGTGTGCGTATATGTGCATTGTATTCATACAGTACCCGGCCCATACCTATAGTTGTGTTTTTGAAGGTTAGTGGGTGTGTGTGTGTGTGTGTGCACATCAAGTACGGTTTTCGCATGCATCCCACTGAAAGCATTGGGATACATGTGGGAATGCAATCATCGTCTGAGAAGGTCAGCTTTGTTTCTGTGAATATAGGTCACAGCTTGCTATATAGGGGCCTTAGCAATTACCTATACTATTTTGGGGTTCCTTATTACAATTATAGTATAATGGGCACCAAAACCCGATTCTAGTTATTAAGGCTCCTATACTAGGTTCTAGGCCTACTGCCTATATGCTGGTTTGCTCAATCAGTTTCGTGGTTCAGAGATGGAAGGCTCCTGCTGCTACTCTAGAGTGCTACTCCTGCTTGATTCAAACACCTGAGAGGCCTGACCCATAATCTGCAATCTGTTGAAGGTTCCCGGACGATAACTGCTTCTTCAAGCGCACCCAACACTCGCACATCACTCTTGCGAGCCACTTTTGAAGCATTTCCCCACATGCCAACGTCCGGCTGCTTCAGAGCAATCGAATTTTGGGTTTGGGGGTTTGGGGCTCAGGGTTTAATCAATATAGAGCCTGCCAGCATCTGAGGTTGCTTCCGACATGGAGACTGACGAGCTTTTGCACGTCCAGGCAACATGAGTGTCAGGGTTTCGGGATGCAGACCTCCAGGCGCTATTAGGGCTCGAAACCCTCAACCACAAACCCGAAACCCTGATTATTGAACAGGTTCTTGAAGCCGGAATGGGGCTCCTGCCTTGTGTCTTCGGGCTTCAAGATGACAGCCCCAGAGCTGAAGGTACAAAGCCTCTGTCCAAAAGACTTCTAGGTAGGCCTTTGGGACATTTTATATTTCCCCTTATTGGGCTTAATAGGGCCCTATTTACGAATATTTTTCAGAGGCTTTAAAGGGCCAACCAAGACTTGCATTTAAGGGTCTCGGAGACCCAGCTGCCTCATTCAGCTAATTAGAGGTTTCCTGAGTTGACAACATTGTTTCCCCTTGGGACAGTTTCGTCAGCCTTTTCGGCAACTGTGGCAACAGATCCAAGAAGATGAAATTCTACCCTGAAGCAGAAGAGGTCAACCGGGACACGAGTGTTTTGGTCGTGTCAGTAGTGGCAGTCGAATGGGTTTGTCATAGAATCTAGTACTACTTGTGTTCCGTTCATAAGTGTTTTTGTTGTTATAGCTGTTGCTATACCTGCGCTGGCTACCAACTACTAATCCTACCCAGCATTTCAAGATTATTACCATTAGCAATACTACTATACTGTTGGTTTCTAGCATCTGTACTAGTTAAGGATGTCTTTGAGTCAGTTGGGGCAGTCTTGTATCTTGCTCGCAGCGTTTGGAGTTACTGTCACCATCGGGTTTAGACACGGGGTTTCAGTGCCGGTGTTAAGGTTTAAACGCAAGGGGCTAGCGTTGCCGGGGCAAGCTGCTTTTTCCAAGTTCAATTCCCAGTGAGTGACTACGGAGATCCAACGAGGCGACAGCTAATTGGTGCCCACAGGAAGGCCACCCCCCCCCCCCCCGGGCCCCAAATTCTATCGTCCCGCGGCACGAAAGCTGCGATGACATCTTGGGAGGCACCTCGCATGTCGCGCTCTCGCTGGTACATTGCCGCTAGGCTTTGCCCGGTGATTTTCCTATGTTCTTGCTGGTGCAAGGTCTCATCTTTGTCTGGCACAGGTGTTTGATATAGGGCGAGAATAAATTAAGATGAGAAGATCTGAACCAAATCACGGTGGGAGCCTGAACCGAATACTGGGTTCTTGTTAAGGGACCTAAGTTACATTACCATAACAAGGAAATCATTTTTTTACCATAGATTCCTATCTATGGCAACTTGAAGTAAGCTCTTTTTTAAAAAGAGCCCAGCCTATGTAGGGCTTGAGAGCCTGAAATATCGTAGTTGTGGATTCGTTTTGGACGTCGTTTAGGGGTTCAAGTTGTTTCTTGCAGGTTTCGGACGAGCTTCAACAGCGCACAGTCTTGCAATCTTTATCACCATACCTCATACCCTAATCCTCTGACCCAAAACTTGTCGTATTTATTCGCTGAAGCTGCATGCTTTTAGCCCGCAAAACATAGATTGAATCCTGTGAAACTCCTGCACCCGAAGTAAGCCCGAAAGCCCGTTTTTGGAGCTCTAGATTTCTGAACCTCCAAATGCTGAGCCCGACACCGGAAAGCCCTTGGCCCCAAATTCCATAATCCCCGATCGCTGCGCCCCTGAACACAGTCGCTCAGTCCACAGGCTCGAGCCCCACGTCCCCAAATCTGAAGGCCTTAAACAGCTCACGCCACAGCCGGAAAACCTACAACCCAAAGGTTTGAGGCGAGCAGGTTTAGAAGACGAGAGCCCTCTTGGGGTCCTAGGCCGGGTCCGGCGCAGCGCTTCTCCTCTTTGCCGGCGTCGCGAAGACCGGGCTTGGGTTTTCAACACAAGGGCTTTTGCAAGACGTTCCTGGTGGACTTTCAGCGTTTATGGTTTTGCGGTGTTTGTTTTGGATTTTTTGAAGTAAGGCCGTAGTTGGTCTGTCAAGAAGGGTACCGTGGTAGTTTTCAAGCTTTCGGGAGTCGGGACCCTCGGGTTTCTGGGGATGTTCGGCTGATTTAGGCTGTACGGCTCTATGTAGGGCCAACTCCAAAACTTGCGGGATCAGGGGCTGAAGGCTTGGAACCTCTTCCTTGGGCTCACGGCTCAGTGGGTTCGCCGGCGTCGTCGTTTGGATGTCACTTCTTGGGCTCGCTGGTCTTGTCTTTTTGTTTTTTTTGATATGGGCGGTGTTTGTCAGCTTTGGGTGCGGGGCTTCCTGGAAGACCTGAGCAGCAACCTACCCCGCTCTAGCAAACTCTACAGTCTACAAGCCTTATACAAAGTTGGCACACTCGCTGCTTGATGGGTCTGTGAGGGCGGGGGCAATAAGCAAGGCGCTTGCGATCTGACGTATCCTGTTAGGGGCTGCCGGCGTCATCCGACGTTTCAGTTCCTGTAAGCTGTACAAGCACCAAATAGCGAAATCCTAGACTAAGAGACTCTTCCACGCTCTCATCCCCAATAGCTTTGCCAAACACAAATTCAGCAACAATGACCAGGAATAGCACAAACGCAGGTATCAATCGAATTACTGCGCTGCAGCAACAGATAAAACGCCCGCACCCGCACCCGCACTCGCACCACCACCACCACCACCACCACCACCACCACCACCACCACCACCACCACCACCACCACCACCACCACCACCACCACCACCACCACCACCACCACCACCACCACCACCACGCCACCGCCACCACCACCGCCCCACCACCGCCACCAGCAGCAGCAGCAGCAGCAGCAACAAAAACAACAGCAGCAACACCAACAGCAACAATAACCACGACAAGGACAACGACAGCAACAAAAAATCGGAAGGACCGCCTTTCCACAGACCTTGGGGTTCTCATCTCCGAAGCGACTCGGTCTGTTATCGACCCCATGGGAGTCAGAGTAGTGCATGGACTTCGGGATTCGGCAGTAAAGGGGTCAGGATTTGCAGGGTGTTGGGTCACTAGGGCTACGGGTTTAAAGGTTGGAGACTTTGGGGTTTAGGGCATAGAAATTGCTTGATTCGAAGCCTCAAGTCTTAAACCGCAATTTCAATCCCTGAGCTTAGGACCATCATCACAACCCCCCAAACCCCAAAGGTTATCTTGCGATTTGACGGTACGTGTCCGAATCTCAGGAACATCATCTTCAACACCGAGGTCTCTCACTGGGAGGACTGCTTAGCCATTGTTTTTTTTCAGATCCTACCGTTGCTGACATAAATCCAGCATTACCTTAATGACCCTGGACTGTGGGAATTATGGTATATTCCTTATTATGGCTACCCAGAGGCTCCAAAGTAGTTCCTTTCTGGGATTGCCTTTTAGGATTCTATATATGAACCCCAAAGAGGAACTACTATGGAGCCTCAGGGTAACGCAGGATTGTATCCTTGAACCCTAAACCCTAAAACCCTATAGATCCCTTAACGGAACCCTTAGATGCCGTTCTAGATCCCTTTAAAGGAACCCCAGGATTTACATCAACCGCAGCGCGAGGATCGCGAGGGCTCTTGCGAATTAAACAGAAGACTTCCAGCTTCAAAGGCTCATATGGGGGCCTTAACAATTACTCTAATTATGAAGGTCTTTGTAGTATCCCGAGTTCCGTCGCCATGATTGCTAGTGAACACAGGCGCTGGGCAAGCAGTTCATAGACGAAGGATAGTAGCTTTCCGAACCTGTCGAGTCGAGCAAGAAGAGAGTCTTCTCCACAAAGGCTAACTAGACGGGCCCCCACACTTGTGTACGTACTTTTGTGGTGTGTTCTACGATTGCTAAATATGCAGGGACCGCAATGGGAGATTGACACATGATCTCGACCCGTCGACCACCTCTGCTTCCCAATCCATCAGCCCTCACTCGTTGAGACCTTCCCCGTACCCAACTTAGGCGCATTGACATGGATTCGGACAGTAGCTGTAGGTACCGTAAGAAGAGGCTCCCTAAACACTAAACCTAATTTCAAGAACTACGCGTAAGCTTCGGGTTTCTGGAGACCGGTACCGAGCATGTGCGTCGCCGGCGCGTGCGTTCGAACGACGACAACTTCTCCGCTCTGGTCTCCTTCGAGGGGCTGTTGGGTCGAACACGCAAGCGATCGTTTTAACTACTTGTTTCGATCGCCACTCAAGTGGTTGTGCGGGAACATGAAGACATGCGGACACCTTATATAAGCCATACACTCGCTACAGGACCGGGCATTCTACGAAGAGAGCCCGACTTCCCAAACTGAAGCAATGTGCCTTCGACGATGCAGGTTTTCTTGACTGTTATGTTCTACTTAACATGAACTCCTATCCTTAAACCCTTAACCTTAACCCTAAACCCCTAACCTTACACCCTAAACCCTTACCTTTCAACCCTCTACCGTAGAATAAAGACCCTAGTTCAGGATCTTCCCGGCATGGATAAGGTGATCCTGAAGGCCCAAAGCATCTTCGCTTGCACGTCTCTTCTGGCTCTGGGGGTTTAGGGTGGGCTTGCGATTGAGGGTTTAGGGTTCAGGATTTAGGGGTTAAGGGTTTGGGGATGAGGGTTAGGGTTTAAAGGGCTTACGGTTTCAGGGCTTGGGTTTGAGGGTTTAGGGTGCAGGATTTAGGGTTAAGGGTTGAGAGTTCAGGGTCTAGGGTTGAGAGTTAGGGGGTTGAGGGTTTCGGGGTTTAGGGTTAAGGGGGGTTAGGGGTTTAGGTAGGGGGTTGAGGGTTTGAGGTCAACCTGCCAAGTATGACAGATAAGACTAAGCAATCCTCAACAGGTGGCACATGTCAAAGGGCAGCACGGGGGCGGTCTTAGAACCCGGACCTTATAGACACTGAACAATAAATTCCGTTTAACCTTAAACTCCAAAGCCCCATGTAGACCTGTCTGATTAGATTGAAACCTCAACTTCATCTTGGTTCGCAAAATCCTGCGGGAGCTCGACGTGCACGTAGACAGCCTCGCCAAGGAACGCAAGGACTTCGTCGGATGGCCGCACAGCACACTGCGTGGCCTCAACGTACTCATCCCGCAATGCAAGCAGATCCAGCATAGGCTGGTTGACCGCAACGACTACCTCGCGAGAGGCCATCAGCACGATGGGAAGATGAATGAGGATCTGAAAGCGGTTCATGATGCAGCCACCAATTCTGAAGATCGCATCAGCAGACTCGAATCCCTCTGCATGGGGGTCCAGGACACCATCAACGAGCTCTCTGATCAACTTCAACAAGTCAGGGAGTGCCAATCGCTCCTGCGGGAGCAAACCCAGGCGATCCTGGTGCGGACACCCAAACTGCCCAAAAGGCAGCCACCCGCTGAGGGACAGAGTTCGATTGCTGCGCCATCCACGCAGCAGACGGCGCCCAACGGCTTTCAGAGCATCTCTAGCCCGTGATGGCTCGAGACCGCAAAGCGTTTGGTTCCGCTGCAAGCTTCTTGCTAACTCCACGTGGAGCTCGCACACTTTAAATTTTAAACTCTTCTTTCGGGACCCGACTCTAATCCATCGACCAACAGCCGTATAACATGAATCCAGTTCCTATCGGTGCCAGGCTATGCCTTTGTAACAAGAGCCATCGCCCTCTGAATGCGCGACCCAAAAAATGCTCCCACTCGCCCTTACTCACAGTTCCTAGATCATGGCCTGCATTTGAACCCCCAAACCCCAACCCCCAATCGTGGTAATATCGAAGCCTCAATCAATAGTTACAAACATTATTCCTACGGTTCCTTATTACAGCTATAGTATAATATGCCCCAAACCCTTTTTCCATTTGTTATAAGGCGCCTTTATTGAGCTCCATCCCCGCCCCACCCAAGGCCTCAAGCACGACCGTCCGTTGCGCCTGGTCCGACATGTGCTTTCAATTGACTGTTAGGATTTCGAGTTTAGCGTCTACTACTAGCGGTTAAGTTTCCTTTCTGGGGCTTCGCCTTCAATTTGTCAATGCCGTTCAGTTTTCGACCAGCACTGTCTTTTAACGCCATTGCAGCTCCGTAACGAAACTGCTGGAACGCCGCAGGCCCCTGCATCTCTGAGCCCAAGCCTCTTAAGTCCGACGCCACGCAAGATCGTCATCACATTTTTTAGGCGTAGCATCATACATCTTCAGACTTCAGGAAACTTCGGGTCGGGTGCCGTACTCGAATTGCGAATCGATGCTATGAGCATTCAGGGTTTATAGGGCTTAGAGACCATTCTTTTCGGTCTGCTTCGGCCAGGGTTGCTCCAACTGCCGTTCTCGCATCACACGAGGGTTGTAAGGGTTTTTGGTGTAAGGTCTACTGTGCAGCCGCAACAAACTTTTTTTGCGGACGGGTTTCAATTGGAAGGCGGTTTATGTGAAACGAAGTCCGATACAGCCACTTCGCCCTTCCGACCCAGACCCAGAACACGACCTCCCTCCGGCAAGAAGGATTGTGGTCGGAATCCGACCATGCAAGACCAGTAAAGAAGCGCGGGCGTTTCAATCACAGCTTGTCCGTGCTAGAACCCTAAACCCCTAAACCCTAAACCCAAAGCCCTAAACTCCATGAGCCACAGCTTGTCAGTGTCATCTTGGACCGAGGCGTAACCTCGAGGACTTGTTCTACGACTCCCAGCCAGAGGTGCCTCACAAAATGGCCGGACTAAGTAGTAATATGCTGTTGCTTAGGCTTCCTTGTTATACTTGTGCTCGGGGTTACATTTTGGATTTGTTTTGAGCTATTGAATATTGTTGTATATTCTCGGGTAGCGGAAGGTGGTTTTGACTGGTTTTGCAAATGCCGTTGCCCTTATGAGCTTCCTGTGGAGAGGCACATGCTCTAAACCCTACAAGCTCAAACCCTACAAGCCCTAAGCCCTATAAACCCTAAACCCTATATACCCAAAGCCCTTTAGGTTGTCGTAAACTGCGGTGGGGCGGGCAGCTCGCCACCTTGAGCCTAAACTCTGACTTTGAAGCCCAACTCCGGACCCTGAGCCGCGTGGCCTAAGCCAAAGACTCAAAGCCCAAAGCCTCACACCTAGAAGCTGCCCCAACCCTGTAATAGTGGTATAATAGGAATATGATAGGGCCCTAATATAATCCTTATATATCCTTATGGTCACTATTACAGGGTGGGGGCACCTTCTAACTCACACCCTAGAAACAGCCCCTAAAAGCTTCTCATGATGGGGGTTCGGCTTATGCTTCCCAGTTGTCTCGCATACGCTCTTTGCGTTTGAGTTCGTGACGATGAGAACCCTTGAGAAAGCGGCGTGACAATAAGCTCCGGTTTGCAAGGGTGCAAATAAGGCAGGTCAGGAATATTCTTGTTTCGTAAAGTCGTGAAGTCCCAAATTCATCTCCAAACCCCAACAATCCCCTGAACCCCAAACCATCCCAAATCCATAAACCCCGTAGTAACCCTTCTACTACCCTGTTTTGAATCCTCATAGGACCATCGGAGCGCTGAAGGAGAGCCCCTTACAACCCGAAGCCTTAAACTCGATGTATCCAATGGTAAAAGGACGGACCCTTAATAAGGACCCCTAGGTACATACCCCTGATATAGCTAGTATACACCCATTATATAGCCCATTATTATAGGGTAGGGGTCCCCATTAAGGGTCCATCATCCTTTTCCCCTTTGAATGTAGGAATCCTGAAAACTCAACCTTCGACCCTCTAAGCTTTGCCCAGGAACTGCCCTGGATCCGCACCGAGTGCGTCATTGACGTCGTTCAGGTGCTCCTAGACCAAGCAAAACGAAAGCGTTTGCGTCAACTATAGGAGCTTGAGTTTGGTTTAAGGGTGTAGGGGATTCTGACTGGTTTGCTTGAAAGCTTCCTGGGTTAGTTTAAGGGTTCCCACAGCGATTCTCAGGATTACAGTAGGGATCCCAACAGTAAGGCCATGAGAGAAAGAAGGTATATGTGAATAAGGGCTGGGCACCTAAGCCTAAACCCCAAACCCGCAAATAAAAACAAATCATAGCAAACAAACCCTAACACACAACAAACCAGACCCAACACCTGAGCCCTAAACCCTAACAGCAAGCAAACGCTAGACCCAAAACAACCCGAAGCCGTAAACTTCATCTCGTGAGCCGGACATCCCAACAACGCCAGGCCGCTGCATACCTGGACCAGGCCATCGTCTTCCTCTACAAGGCTTGCTATTGAAGTATAATATACATTTGTACATACAAAAATAGATAAATAAATATACATACTTATTTAATGTACATATATATATATATAAACATGTGCTTATATTGCCCTTTGTGTTATACTACAGTACAGAATATTGCATACTAGATATAATGTGTACTATATTCAACACGTACTAGATAAATTTTACTGCGTAACATCTACTGTATGATGCCCTTCCAGCAGAGGCTTTCTGCTGTTGCTTTAGGATTCAGGGTTTACAGTATATTGGTTTTAGTTTCACAGAGCATTCAAATTTAGGGTCCGGTCTACCCTAAACCCTAAACCCCAAAACCCTAAACCCTAAACCCCTAAACCCTAAACCCTAAACCCCTAAACCCTAAACCCTAGGGTTTAGGGCAGAGTTTCAGGGCCTGGCTTGGGGTGGCCATGGGTCCAGGCGCTTCGGGGTAAAGGGAACTCCAGAAAGTTGGAATATGGTTTCAGGGTAGGATACCCTATAATTTACCTTAAAGGGATTATGATAATGATATTCCAACTTTCTGGCTTCTGCTGTACAGGAGAGGTTTGGCAGGGTTGAAGCTTTCGTCACTGCACATAGTCTTTAATGTTACGGTCATTGTATTAAACGTGGGGACAATAGAGATATTCCCCGGGGCCGAATATCCGGGCGGAAGAGGAGTTTTAAGTGCGTAGCCAATTTGCCCAAGCAATTGATGTTTCAAGGGAGGGTCGCAGTAACTACAGGGTTGACAATAAAAGTGTTCCGGGCCCCATGTCCCGAACAAGTTAGGATCCAGGCTAAGTAACTAGCAAAAGTTGAATCTACGAGAACATTAGAACTATGAGTTGCAATTACTACAACCATTACTACTAGTACTACAATCCCGGGACACGTCCAGATGTTGATTATTACCGCCCTGACCCCAAACCTGCCTCAAGAGATCCCCGCGCAAACCAACCTTCAGGGGCGGAGGGGTTATTAGAATGGCCGTGACATTAAGAGGGTTTACGGTGATATGTTGAGTGCGTGGGGGTTTAGGGTTTTAGGGTTTAGGGTTTAGGAATTAGGCTCACATACACGACGGCAGCAGTATGCAAACCCTAAATCAACCCTAAGTTACGAAGTACCAGGGTTCAAGTGTTGATAGCGGCTTAAGGTTATAATGACCAATAGTATCTTGGGGTTTCCCTACTATATTAAGTATACTATCATGTTCACCAAATGTCTCCCAGACACTATTCTGATTATTAAGGCCCCTAAACTCTCTTATAGATCCCCTACAGAACTCTTCAAAGGATATTCTAGTTTTATATAGTCAGGGTCCCCGGGATCTGCTTAGATCTGGGCACTTTGAGGGAGGCATGGATTACGGCGGTTTAGGGTTTAGGGGTGAGCTGAATCTGCGTTTAGACTTCAGGGGTGCGACTTAACCGACCCTGAGCGCCTAAACCCAACGGCCAAGATCAAGCTAATGCGATGACTACGCTTAGGCCATTGACTACGATGGCCTGGAGTGCCCGAACAACTCCCCAGTGGGCTGCGCAGCGAGTGTGGCTGGTTGCTTGTATCAGAGTCAGGTTCGGCCTAAAGCTAGACTACACTGTTTCATGTTTTTTTGTTTCTGAGAGGTCTCCAAGCAAGGTACCATTCAAGGGGAGTGAGTAATTGGAGGGCACAGGTTCAGGTATCAACCTAGTTTCTTTGTTTATTGCGGCGGTGGCCGCCTTTTGGGGGTGCACTAACTCCTTTTCCTAAAGTCTTTCCATGCCTTAGGGAAGACCTCTGGTTGCAACTTGCCCTTCGAGCCAGGCCGCAGCTTACTTCTCATTTCCACACTTACTTCCAATTTCCGCGCCCCTAAATAAGAAATCCTTGAAAGGCCCCTGAAGCAACTCTTACAGGACCTTGGGGTCTCCATCTACCACCCCGTTTCAAGATCCCCATCTTTCTCGGACCTAGGCTTCATCACTTCCATCAGCTGGATCGCATCCTACCTGTCCTTCGCAGCCAACGCCTGTGGCCAGGCCGTTCGGAGTTAGTTTGTAGAAAAGAAGATCCTTCACAGGCATGTATACAGGCTTTTTGAGTTCAAAGGGCTTCATAGGAGTTTCAGACAAAGATCCTTATAAGTAAGAGTTCTAGCTGGGTAAAGAATGACCACCAACATCGACCTTGAATAATCATTAGGCACGAAGTGGGAGTTTCCGAAAATAGGGGAACCTAATATAGTACCCTAAATAGTAGGATCCTTATTATAAGGACCCCCAAATAAGGTACCCCTAATTTTCGGAAACTCCCAAGTAGGGTCTCCCGGATTGTGAGCCACACCATCTGCTACTGGCAGGGTGCTACGGGGTTTAAGGGTTTAGGGCTTTAGGGATTCCGGCTGACGGGAATCGGTGGAATGCAGTTTATGCTTATCTCGATCCACGCCGCTGTTGCAGAGTCTAGGGGTTGCTGGGTCTTGCTGTGCTGGGTTCTGTGTGGCTGCCTGTATGTGTGAGAGTGCGTGCACTTACGATCTGGGGTTCTCTTCCAGAGATCTGGAAACCCTAAACCTAAAACCCTAAACCCTAGACCCTGAACCATCGATGTTCGAAGATATCTTACGCGAAGCCTCCCTCTCGCGTCTTCATGAGTTTGGCAACGAGATCCCTAATGCTGAAGCCTTCATCAATAGAAAAGGGTTTTGGGGGGTCCTCATTATATTCATAGTATAGTATACCCCCAAAGCCTATCCTAAGTGCGCAGGCCCCTACATTATAGAACTCTATTATAGATCGCTTATAGTACCCCTTTCAGACCCCTTATAGGATCCCCTCCCCTCTACATTGAGCCCAAGTCCAAAGCCCAAAACCGAAGCTAAAGCCTTGCACCGCAAACGAATCCTCAGACCTCAGAGCAGATTATTCAGCCCCAGCACTCTAAACCAAGGTAGGGCTTTGGGACATTTTATATTTTCCCTTATTGGGCTTTAGAGGATCTTATTTACTAATATTTTTCAAAGGCTTTAAAAGCCCCACCTAGAAACCCTAAACCCCTAACTTTTAACCCTGAACTGTAAACTCTAAACCCTTAACCCTAAACTCTAAACCCGTAAGCCCTGAAACCAATGCCTGCGCGAACCTGGAACGCAGGCCGTCAACTCAGGTGCGATTTGTGCTGGCGACTTCACGGCGTTGATGGCCAACTTCGGAGAGTACCTTCTCTTGCATTCAGTGGCACCAAACAACAGTAGGTAGTAGTCGTCGTCCTCCTCCTCCTCCTCGGAGCAGGCGCAGGAGTACGAGTAGGAGTAGAGTGGGAGGACAACGAGGAGGAGGAGTAGGAGTAAGACGAGGGTTAGCAGCAGGAGTAGGTGGAGCTGTGTAGTTGCGAGTTTTCAAGTTGGGCAATGTACATATACTCAATGGGTCAACTAAATGCACAACACTACAAAACACAATTTCTGAACTTACAGCTTCAGGAACCACAGAATTTGAAAAGGAGCGGTGCTTCTAATCGATCCCAAAGCCTTATTCTAATGATGAAGGCGCCGATATATCTGTTCTGAATCTCCTGTACCACGACCTTGCCTTGACCTGCTCCCAACGCCCCCCCCCCCAGCCGAAGTCCGAAATCAAAGTCCAAGTTCCGCCAAACCGTAAACCCAGGACAATTCCTTCGCAAGCCTTCTACCCAGAGACTCCAAGATCCCTTAATTAAGCACACCTTAAACACCCCTTGCGGCTGGCTTTTGTCATTAGATTGAAGGAATATTCCTCGACATAGGCGAAGCTGTGTGCAGATGTAGCGAAATCTACAGGATTGCCACCGTGGGCGCGGCTGCCCGTGCGGACTGCAACTTCGGCAAGAACGCCCTCCAGATGCTTAGTTGCACTAGGACCCAGAGTAGGCTCTTATTCCCTTTTTGAGGGTTCAGGTTCCCTCATAACCCCCTTTAAACCAAAAAGGGCACCCTTTTTCCTCCTAGGTTACTCTTAGGTCTAGACTATGTGTTGACTTCGTAGCAAAGTTTGCAAGTTGCAAGCTTCCTGGGCTTGTCTAGTACCGGGGCCGTTTAAATGAGTCCCAACAGTATTGTGGGGGTTCGTTATTACAATTATTATAAAGTATCATGGGACAAGGCCCCTATATTAGGTTGTAAGGTGTAGCTGTTCAGTTATTCGGGTGTGTAGCCCCCGGGAGCCCGAGCAGCAGGACAGCCCTTTAGGCGTACCAGGCATCGGGGGGTGTCTACGGAACCCAAAACCCGTACATCCTTCAGACAGTTTAAGTCTAAATGATTGCCTATACTATTTGGGGGGGTTCCTTATATCATATAAACTTGGTATAATTAGAACCCATACATCTTCAAACCACAGTACTTCGGATGGAGCGACTAAGGATCCTCACGCGCACGGAGACGATCTCCCCTCCCTGGAAGCAGTTCATCCCTGCCGGAGCCTCTCCGAAGGTTGAGAAGGCCTTGAAGATTAAGGCGCACAAGGACCGCTCCTAAAGGGCTTTAGGGTTTAGAGTTTAGTCTTTAGGGTTTAGGGTTTAGGGTTTAGGGCCTATAGGGGTCTATAGGGATTAGGATTTAGGGTCTCGGGTTTTGGGGATTAGGGTTTAAGGCGCACAAGGACCAACAGCGAAATCGTGGTTTCGACATCGCTCAGTGTGTCGCCGACGTCACGAATTCGGTGCCTCGTAGCACGAGGGAACATCGTTTCAGGCTTTGGCATCTGGATTTGGGGGTTCAGACTCTGAGGGTTTAAGGGTTTAGGGTTTTGGATTTCGGGTTTATTTCACTCTTGTAGCTTTGAACCTCAAACTTTGAACTCCTGATATAGCTGAGAGCCTGAAGCCCTGCACCCGCAAACCCCCAACGCTAAACCCTAAAGCCATATACCCTGCAAGTCCTAAACCGGCAACACTGAACACAAATGTGACCTGAAACCTTAACCCTAAACCCACAACCCACTGAACCCAAAACCCCCTAAACCGACAACATTTATCCCCAATGTAACCTGAAACCTGAACCCTAAACCCTAAAGCCCGAGACCCCAAACCCGCTTAAACCCTGTGACCTGAAACCCGAGGCTTTCATAGGGATCTATAGTAAACAAAACGGTGCCCTTATTATGGCAACTTAGATTAAATCCCCCTAAACCTTAAAACCCTAAACCCACAACCCCAAACCCCTGAGCCCCAAACCATGTGACCTGAAATCCGAGGCTTCCTACATTGTCCGAGTTATCCTACAGATCCGCACCGCTGCGAGCGCCTGCCCTGACCCGAAGCACCCTGGATGCCGCTTTAGGGTTTAGGTCTCTAGAACCTAAGTGTTAGGACTTTAGGGTTAAGGGTTTTAAGGCTTAAGCCCCAAATTCCGAGAGCACTGTTGGGTTCGTTCAAAAGCTACGCCCTGTAGAACCTTATCAGCCGCTAAAGCTTAGCCCCATCCGTGTCAGCCAAGGGAGTTACGGGGGATACTTTCCCAAGTCATAGCTGCCATGCCTACTATGGAAAGCCTACAATAATTTATAAAAGCGGGAAAGACAATGCGTGGTTAGACAGTAGAATGTAGGGGTTCTATACGGGACTGGTAGAAGCACTGGGATTTCTGAAAGTCAGGGAGTGCGGGGGGGGTTCGTTGCAGCACCGGTCAGACTCTGAAACCACAGTCTGAAACGTAGATAGTGAACGGGGCAACTTTAAACTTTTTGGCCTTATATGTTAGCTCTATCTTACAAAGTTTGAACTTTTTGGGGCCCGGTTGTTGAAGAAGAGAGGAAACGTAGAGGGTCCAAGAAGCAAGCCCGCGCTAGAGGTTCCAAGATTCTAATGGGACGTATACGGGTTTAGGGTTTAGGGGTTTAGGGTTTAACTTAGTTAGGGTTTAGGGTTTAGGGGTTTAGGGTTTAACTTAGTTAGGGTTTAGAGTTTAGGGGTTTAGGCTTTAGGGATCTCGAGGGTATTGTTGAGTCTGACCTCGACTTTGTTGGCATGCGTTCCTCAGGACACAGATCCTGAAAACGCCCTACCCTTATGACACCCGGTACCCTGCAAGTGCTTGGATTCCAGGAAATGTTTATTTCGTGAGTTTGAGTGTGAGGTTGAGTGTGAGCGAAAGTGTGAGCGAAAGTGTGAGCATGGATTTCCAGCCCATCGGGAAGTGTGAGGTTGAGTGTGAGGTTGAGTGTGAGCGAAAGTGTGACCATGAATGGGCCACTCACACTCCGGATCCCGCTCACACTCCCTCTCACACTGCCGCTCACACATTCTTCCTGTAAAACACAGCAAAAAGTGTGAGCGGAGTGTGAGCGGAAGCGTGAGCATGAATGAGCCACTCACACCCCGGATCCCGCTCAGACTCCCTCTCGGACTCCCGCTCACACTTCCGCTCACACTTCCGCTCACACTCCCGCTCACACTCCCGCTCACACATTCTTGCTCCGCTCACACTTCCGCTCACACTCCCGCTCACACATTCTTGCTGTAAAACACAGCAGAAAGTGTGAGCGGGAGTGTGAGCGGAAGTGTGAGCATGAATGGGCGACTCACACGCCCGCCCACACCCCCGCTCACACTTCCGCTCACACTTCCGCTCACACTCAGAATCCCCGCTCACACTCAGCCTCACACTTCCGCTCACACTCTCGCTCACACAAAACCTCACACAAATAATGTTTTCAGACCATCCCATGGGTTGCAGGGACTGGGTCTCATAACCCTACCCGAAGCCGAATGAGCCCGAAACTCACAAAACAGCGTTCACCCTCCGGATTGCTCGGGTAGTCCGGGGTTTATGGTTTAGGTTTCAGGTTCCGAATCCCTTCGAGCCCTGGACAGAAAGTCTGAACCCTGAACCCAGGGCCTGCGCGATCAACATCATGAACATTATCTCCTCCTTCGCTTGGATCTCGCAGTTCACGCGCCTGGTCTGACCTCACGGTAGGATGGGGAAGTCAGGCTGTGAGCATATTGTAGGCTTACTTGTTCATGTCGAGTTCCGTACTAGCCTACAAAACCCCCAACCCAACAGCTCAGTTTTGGGGTTTGGAGTTTCCGAGTCTTGCGATTCACTGATGTACATAAACCATCATAAAGATGTGCTCGGTTGCACCGAGACAGCCGGACGGACAGACAGAGACGGAGACAGAGACAGAGACAGGCAGGCCCGCAGGATGACAAATATACATGTAGGTAGATATAGATATGGCCCTGTAACTTGTAAGAGTGTGTCTACATGTCCCTGTATTCTGTGTGGGCAGATGTGCATGCGTGCGTGTATGTTGAAATACAAAACAAAATGAATATGAAGATGCATGCGTATCAAGGCTAACTTAATACAATAATTGCAGGCAGATAAAATGCACATATACATACACATACATATATATATATATATAGTTAGATCAGCAACTGAATAAGAAGCTATCTATGCATCTATAGTGGCCGGTCGGAACTGACAATGGTTCCTTAATTCATGTCATATACCACGATACCCTATTCTGATCAATAAGTCCCCGGGCAGAGTGGATCTTGGGGCAGGGTTGGCCTTGGAGAGGGCGTTGTTGTTTTTTTTTGTTTTTTTTCACGGGGTTGGCTAAGGGTTTTCCGATATTACACGAAGTTCCTGTTTGGTTGTCGGTAAGTGGCGTTTATGTACAGCTCCTTAGTCAAGCATTTTGTGTTTCCTTCTGGGACTGCGAAAATAGAAACCTTCACCTCAAATGAGGCCGTTCAGGCAGAGTTTCGAAACCCTCAGCGTGAAACTGCAAAGCCTAAACCGTCAGGGCCGCCCCTAAACCCTAAACCCTAAACTCAGGGCCTTGGCAGTTTCTGATTGCCAAGTGGGTGCTGACCAGAAGGCCCTGTGCACTGCTGATATCTCGGCAGCTCGGTGAGAGATGAGGGCTCGAGGGGAGCAGGGCTTAAGTTTAGGCTAGGTATAGGAGTTTCTATCGTCTCCTTAGGATTTCTATTTTTGGTTCATATACAACCCAAGAGATTATTAGAAATGATATCTTTATTATGGTTCTAAGGGGGGTATAGGAAGTTCAGGGTATGTATAGGAGTTTAGGGATTCCTTTCCTGAGGGTTTGGCATTGGGGTGGTTTGGGCTGTAGTGGTTTAACAGGTTTGGTTCAAATGCCTGGCACCTTCATCCACACACACACACACAGCCTGAACCGGACTGCAACTGGCCTCCAAACTGAGTCTTTCAAGCCCTCACGCCACAACAAAAAGTTCGACCCGAAGCCTTCGACACCAAGCCCGAAACCCTGAACCCTAAACTTGAATCCCTGAACCCTACTCCCCTAAACCCTAAGCCCGACAGCTCAATCCGTAAAGCCCGCAGAGAGACGCTGAGGACATGGTGGCTGCCCTGACGAATGGACCGGCCGCTGGCATTGCTTCGACTTCCGCGCCCTGGTTGGGAAATTTCATGAGGTTGCTTTCTATGGTTTGGGGCTTAGGGTTTAGCGCTGAGGTTTCAGTGTTTGCAGTTCGAAGTTTCAGGTTTGCAGTTGGGGGTTTGTTTGGGATTCGAGGATTCGAAAAGCGTTTTGAATCCAGCAATCATGCAGCAACCCCAAAACCTTCAGCCTAAGCTTACAACACACTTTTTCAAAATTCAGGCGTTTTGCGATGGTTTGTGCGTGTAGGATCCCTGCGATTGCAACTTACAACTGTTGTGCAACCCTGTTGCCCGTACGGAAATCCCTCCCGTTGCTTACCCAATATCCCGAAATGCATCTCATGTATGCCCCTCACAAGCCGTTTTGTCAACCGGAGCCCAAACCACTAATTCCCAAACACCATAAAACCGAGATCCCTAAAAACAAAACATGTATAGGGACCATTTTAAACTTTATAAAGGACACACAGACAGCACCTGTACAACCCTTCTAAACACCGGATAAAGACCCTGACTTTTTGTTGGGGTCTGCCCTGTGCAAACCCCTATACACCGCAAACTCCTAAGCCGGAAAGGGGTCATTGCACTTAAAAAAAATTCTAACCTCCCCCCTCAAAAAACACACACAAACACACAAGAGCACGCCTTAGCAAAATCCTAAAACTTAAAGCTTTAAACTCCAAGCCCTAAAACCCAAAACCCTCAACCCTACCAAGCCCGAAACCCTAAAGCCTCAAACTTCATGCCCTCAGCCCTCGACCCTAAACCCTACAGCCCCACCAAACCCGAAACCCTAAACCCGGAAGCCCTAAACCCTATAAAGCCCTAACCCCCTCGACCCTACTTGAAGGTTCATGCGTAGTTAAGTAGGGTTATAAGTACCGTAACTATACTTATAACCCATATTAGGGGACTTATAACCCCACGCATAACTACCCTAAACCCCATAAAGACCCTATAAAGCCCTCTAGAACCCTTGAAGGAATCCTTTCACCCCGCTTATAACTACCCCTGAACCTTCAAGTAGACCCTAAAGCCCTCTGAGGACTGCGCTGATCTGCCAGACCCGGCCTCTGAGGAGATGCACTTACCCATGGACTAGGCCGGCTTTAGGGCTTGATGGGTCTATATAGGGCCTGGGGATTCAGGGGTTTAGGGTTTAGGGATGTGTAGGGCTTTAGGGCTTGATGGGTCTATAGGGCTTTAGGGATTAGGGGTTTAAGGTTTAGGGGTTTAGGGTTTAGGGATGTGTAGGGGTTTAGGGATTTAGGGGTTGTGGGCTCAGGGTTTAGGGCTCAGGGTTTAGGGGTTTTCGGTCTAAGGTTTAGGGCTCGAGGGTTTCTAGTGTGGGCTTCCCTTCATGGGGGTGTCTTTCCAAAGGACTCGTTTAGAAGTCTACGTCTTAGGTGTTTTTTTGCGGGTTTGAGGTTAGGATTGGTTTACGGGTTAAGGTCTTTAGGATTTTGGTTGGGTTTTAGCGATATGCATGTCTGTCCGGCATCTATTCGGTTCTTCATGGTTTTGCGGCAGGGCCTGTCATGTGTTTGGACGCCAAAAGATCTAAGGATAGTTCAGTTATCTTTTAGTAGTAGATGTACAGGGTTCACGATGTACCCTGACCAGCAGACTCGCAAAATGATCTCGTAACATGGGAATCCCTGCATGGTTTTGGTTCTTAGGGATCAGGCCGCCTACTAGGGTTTAGGGTTCTGCGTTGCAGAGTTTAGCATACCTTGCCTCGCAGACTTACTCCGCGAAAAAAGCTGGTCGAAATTCTCAAACCCGTGAGTGTAGGTCGGCTAACACTCTATCGTGAGGGTGTTCTGTAGGTGTGGCAATGAAGCTTGATACGATAAAACCCCCGTAAACCCTAAACCCTAAACCCTAGACTTACCCTGTGGAGCGGGCTGAGGTGGGCTGGGGTCAAACAGCTGTCGCCTGACTCCTCGCACATCCATAGCTGCTGATGGACAAAATCCTGCATTAAAGGGATCTATAGGGTACCTTAAAGGGGCTCTTTTAAGGGATCTATAGGGGTTTAATTAGGGTTTAGGGTTTTAAATCCTGCATTACCCTTAGGACTCTAAACTATGGGAGTTATGGTATATTCCTTATAATGGGCAATGCAGGATTTTGTCCATCAGCAGTAGTTGCTGTTAAGAGCTTCACTGTATGGTCCCGCCATGTCCTATCACCTTATCACCTCACAAATCCCATGTTATGGCAGAAAGGCCTATGTAGGGTTTACAGGCTTAGAAGGTCTGCTGTGTTAGGATGTGAGCTCGAGGGATTTAAGGCTTCAGGGTTCAGGATTGTGGGCCTGTAGGCGATGAACACTACGAAAAACAATCGGGCTTGGTGTTCCGGTTTTGAGATGTTGTGCAGGGCGTCAGGTTTAGGGCCTCCCTTTCGGCGCTTGCGCAGGTGGGTGATGCGTGCTCGTTTCTTGGGTCAGTCATAAGAGCGTGAGGACCTGAAGGATCAAACGAGCCCAGTCGTTCTGAATGCTTTGAAGGCTCGCTTGGTCCTTAAGGGAAGCACACCGCCTGGACCGAAGCTCTCCGGGTGTTTATTCCTTCCAGAACCCAAGGATCCCTCAAACAAGAACGGTCGACAATGGTTTTGGACGAACGGCTTCAGAGTTATACCTGGCTTGTTGCATATTGTTTCATGCAGGGGTACTGGTCTCTAGGTACCCGGGCACTGAAACGTAGTTGCCAAATGGTCAGGGTCCACAGTAGTAGCAGGGCAATGTATACAGACAAGGAGACTGTAGGCATTGCTAGCCTAGGCACCAGCTACCTGAATTAATTGTTGCTTGTCGTTAACACCTGCATCAGCTTTTGGCACCCATAACCTAGCAGCCTCCCGTCTCTGTAACTGGACTTTCACTTGCTTCCCAAAGACTCCAACTTAATTAAGAAATATGCTTTTTCTCATATAAGGGAGCCTACTATAACTGAAGGCAGATTCCCTAAACCCTAAACCCTAAACCCAGGGATACTGGAGTCTCTGCAACTGGACTTTGATTCGCTTGCTTCGGCTCAGAAGTATCGTCTCCTTGGTATTTCTTTGGTATTTTTGTTCCTTAAAGTATAGGGTTTAGGGTTTAAGGTTTGGGGTTTAGGGTTTAGGGTTTAGGGTTTATATGGTTCTAAAGGGGGTATGGAGAATATTTCCGAGTCTTGGATCCCCTGGGATCGGTGCTTCAAAACCCTACTTTTCAACAACAAATCCTTGAAACCCACTACTAGTAGGGGCCTTAATAGTCAGAATTGGGTTTGGGGGATATTATACCATATGTATAACCTAGTACCAAATATCTAAGCCCTAGAAACCCCAAACCCGCTTGACCTCTATCAACCAAAATGAACCTTAAGCCTGTAATGCGGGATCTAGCGGTTCTGGTGTTTCCTACTACGCAGTTTTGTGATGGCTGCGGTTTTGGGCCACCCGAGATCCCCATGTCCGGCCAAGGCTTCTCGATCCACGTGCAGTGTTAGGATTCAATTACTTCTTAGGGTGTATTTCATTGTAGTCGGGTAACATGTTGCATATTTATGGGTATTTCAATCCAGAAAGTGAATAACAATTAATTTTGTAAATACTGATCCAAGCAGAACCTAGGTTAGGGGTTTAGGGTCCAGGGTGTAGGGTTAGGATTCTCAAAGGGGAAAAGGAGGGACCCTTAATGGGGACCCCTAGGTATATACCCTTAAATAGCTATTATATACCCATTATATAGCCCATTATCGGCAAGGGGTCCCCATTAAGGGTCCCTCCTTTTCCCTTTTGAGATTCAGGGTTCAGTGTTTAAGGTCCAGGGTCTGGCTTTTCAGTTTAAGATGTACTAGGGTCCTGTAAGGGTTTCTGTGGGGGGTCTACAAGAACGTGGCCCTGAACAATTCGAATAGTGTTTCTGGGGTATAGTATAGTATAGTCACATTGGAAACCCCAGCGGATAACATGTGCTTGTTTTTGGGTTTTTGGGTTTGAGGTGTTCAACGAGATGGGGGTTTGGCTGTCTAAGGCTTAGGGTTTGGGTCTGGCGTTTCGTAGACGTGCCTGCATGGGAGTATGCAGGAGGTGCTGATTGTTTGTTCAAGGGTCTTTAGATCTGCAATTCAGGATTTGCTGGTTGGTTCCAGTGTGTGTTTAAATTCTAGAGGGTGGGCTTTTGAGATGAAGCACAGTCGGGCCTGATTATTTGTAGTAGCACTCCTTTCTAATGCTGCCGCCGGAGATGAGGTTCGGGCGCCAAAACCGCTTGCACCACCAATGCATCGCAGAGCGCACTCCCCAACCTTCCCAAGCCCATATTGCAGCCGGAATCAACAATAATCCATGACCTCTGCCCCCTTGTTGAGCTTTCAATTTAAGCAGCACGCCTTCAAATCGAGAGCCTTCGATTCAATCTAGACACTAAGCCCGATCCTTTTGCGCAGTTCTGTCTGCATTGGACGAGGCCTTTTGTTGCACTGGAGGAAATTGTATCCAGTGGTAACGGACTGCCTGACTTGCGCACGTGTTGCCTCGGCCTAGTCGTCCTGGCTGAATGCAGTCTTTGTCCGCACATGAATCAGAGACGACCGGCAGTTGTACTAAATTTGTCTGGACTTATATATAAACATGTGTATACAGACGTGCAAGCGCCTACACACACACACGCATATAATCACGCAAACTCAATCTGCAACACTGTATAAATATGTGTATATATATATATATGTACACACACATACATGTAAGTAGGTATGTATGTATGTATGTGTGCGAACAGTAGTGAAAATAGTATAGAGCATATTGCAAGTAGTTTATAGCAGTAGCATATAGCATATAGTATTTAGTGGCTAGCATTTAGTCTACAATTGGTGTTAGTCTTTAGTGTCGACAGCATAACATTGTATAATTTTGTGTAGTATAGTATGATCATACCGCATGTCTATCTATCTACCTATCTATCCGTGCATCTATCTACCTACCTATGGGTCGAACTCTCGACCCATCGATCTGTCGATGCATCTGTCTGTCTACATGTATCTATCTATTCTGTGTATATATACATACATATACATATATATATATATATTTATTTATTTATTTATTTATTCATTTTTGTATTTGTACAGGCACATATCCAGGCTTGTGGCGATGACTGAAGCCTAGACCCTACAGTGTTGGCCACATCCATGAGGTGCTGCACGAAGCTCAGCAAGCATAGTACCCAGACACCCCTTAATTCAATAGTACTTTAAAGGATGTTAGGGATCATACTGTAAGTTAAGGTATATGCCTTTATCTACTAGACCATATATCGTATCAGGGATCATGTTATCATTTACAGAATGCTCCTGAATTATTCTCTGGGTCTCTAAATTTCCTGAGCCTTCCCAGGAGCCGGAAAAGCGGCCTGAACCCTGAACCCCGAACCAAAAATCCGAAACCTAAGCCCTAATCCCTAAACTGCAGAAACCCTAAACCCTAAACCCTAAACCCTAAACCCTAAACCCTAAACCTTTAAAAAGAAACTGCAGAAAAGCCTTCCAAGTCCTAAGGGCCCTCAGGTTCCACAGAAAATGTGGAAGCCTCTTAAGGTGCAAACACCCCTGTAACCATCGTCTTCTTAAGACCGGGTATAGGGTATAGGGTTTAGGGTATAGGGTATAGGGTTTAGGGTATAGGGTATAGGGTTTAGGGTATAGGGTATAGGGTTTAGGGTATAGGGTATAGGGTTTAGGGTATAGGGTATAGGGTTTAGGGTATAGGGTATGGGTTTAGGGTATAGGGTATAGGGTTTAGGGTATAGGGTATAGGGTTTAGGGTATAGGGTATAGGGTTTAGGGTATAGGGTATAGGGTTTAGGGTATAGGGTATAGGGTTTAGGGTATAGGGTATAGGGTTTAGGGTATAGGGTATAGGGTTTAGGGTATAGGGTATAGGGTTTAGGGTATAGGGTTTAGGGTATAGGGTATAGGGTTTAGGGTATAGGGTATAGGGTTTAGGGTATAGGGTATAGGGTTTAGGGTATAGGGTATAGGGTTTAGGGTATAGGGTATAGGGTTTAGGGTATAGGATATAGGGTTTAGGGTATAGGGTATAGGG